GCTTCTCTGAGTCCTTGAATTCTCACTTGCTCTGTCACCGTTCATTCTCGATCCTGGACCTCAATGGAGACAGCAGAGAAGTTTTTATCTAATGTCACCACTGCTCATGTGCACAGGAACTACACTTTACGTGTACTCCTCACTACAGTTTTCATTCTTAAATCTTCACTCCTCCTCATTCATCTATCTATTCTTAGTTTGGGAAGCATATTCACCTGCCCATCATGTCTTCCGTGCACAGAGCCCTGATTGATTATACAGTGATGACTGTACCCAGTGTCTCCCACCCAGGGATGAAGTAGACAGGCCAGAGAGCATTTAGCCAAGACACTCACAGAGTCGCTATTTCCATATCTGTGGTTCTGTACATAACATTTGGCAAATGAGTAAACTTTTTAAAAATCCCCTTTTTCTTTGATTTTCTCTTTTTTTCTCCCCTACTTCTTACTTCCTTCTTTCCCTCCTTCCCTTCCTCTCTCTCCCTTCCCCCTTCTTGTCCTTTTCCTTACCAGCTTTATTCTCTCTGACCAGCATTCAGTTCGCAAAGGACGTAGCAGTGAGAGGGAGCTCTCCGCAGGTCCAGTGAAGATGATGAGCAACGAGACACAGCGGCCATCTCGACCATTCACAAAGCAGGGACACACACTAATCTCACTCCCTCTCTCCGTGCAGCAAGTACCTGGACACGATCAGTGCCCACAAAGGGGAAAATTGCTCTGCCTATAGAAAGAGAGTAACCGGGCCTTTTTCTTAAGCCATTTCACAGATATTTCTAAGAAAATGCAGAAAAGAAAGCATGGTCCGTTGTCAACCCCATCTGCCCCCAAAGAACTGGGAGGAGATGTCTTGGGAAACTCAAGATGATACCCTCCGGATCAAGTGGAAGATAGGGATAAACACCAACCGTGGTTCTACAAAGCTACGCAAATATTTCTTCCTCTACTCCTTTTTCCAAACAGGACAGTGAGAGAGACAACCAATGAACCAAAACAAGGGAGCCCTCTGAATGTAAATGAAAGACACAGAAGAGTCCAGTGGGAGGGGTACCCCAGCTTTGGGGATGTCATTCTCCGGCTCCTGGTAGGTGGAGACACAAACTTTGTTCTAGCGGTTACTGTAGGTCTCAGAAGACTGAAGATTAGCAGGCTTTGTGAGAAAATTCTGTTCCATTATTTAATCAGAGTTAAGAGTCACACAGTCTGTGGGACTGGGCCTGCAAGCAGACCTGTCCTCTCCAGGGGCCCTTTCTAAAGAAAGCATCGCTGTGTATATTAAGCCTAATGAGCTTCATCTGATTTCATTTTGGGTGGTACTGAACTTTATTCTGTTTTTTTTTTTTTTTTAACCGACTTGGGAAAATTTCAGTGATGGCATTATGGTTTACCCAGGGATGCTCACTTTCCTGTGCCCATCCCACCTTCCTAGAATGTTCAGTTCTTTTTATTGAGTTCCATTCTTGAAGTTGCTTCTTCAAAGAAACATAGGTTCATTGTTATACCTTCATATGTTCAGTCTCTGCCAATTATGTGGTAACAAATTGCAACTGTCTCAGAGATTTTTTTTCATTCCTTTCCTTTCTAGGGCCATATAACATAAGTCTGAGGTGGATCACTATCAGATTACAATGAGGACATGACTGATGTGTCTACATTTAGGCACCAATCCCACCAAGACTGTGGCTTGACAGTAGCCAAGTATGTCGTAAGAGTTTCGGACAAATTTAATTCTGGTAATTTAGGTCATAGGCCTATTAGAAATAATCTATAAGCAGTTTTCAAAAGAATTTTATTAAGTTTAAATGAGTGCATTTATTAAGTTTAAGGCATACTGCATTATATAGATCCCTGCTAATAATCCAGCAAATAAAAGCTTCTATGGGAGGTAAGGTAAACTTATTTCTTGTAGCTATCAAGACTAAAGCCCATATCAACAGATAGTAAAGGCCTTAGTTTGTATTCAAATACCATTTATAAGTGGTTTCATTCACACTTGCAACCTAACTTGTTACACTTTGAAAATTAATGTTTAAAAATGCTCAGTTCTTATATCTGAATTATGAAAGCAAAGAACATGGCCTTTCCCCCCATAGTGTTACAGTTTTGACATGAAGGGTCCCTGACAGTCAGTGGGCTTATGGATTGAAAGCTTGTCCCCTAGTACAATGTTCTGAGGTGGGCTTTAGGGAAGTGACTGGATCACCAGGGCATCTGAGTCTATGAGTTCACCCACTGATGGATTCAAACTTTAAGTGAAGTACTGGGAGGTAGTGGAACTGTGGGGCCTAGATGGGGATGCTGATGATGCCTAGAAGTCCTGCCTCTACTACGGAATGTACCACTCAGCTTAGGTCTACAAGCCCTCGGCTCTTTTTAATAGTTCTTTTTCCATTCTGGATACTAGACAGACAAATTCTAACTTTATAACTTCCCAGCTCTGGGGCCTCAGACAGGTCACCTCTTTCTATGCCTCGGTCTCCCCATCTGTCCATGAAGCTATAAAAGCACTAACTCCTAGAGTTGTTGTAAGGGTTGGCGAAGTACACCCAAAGTACAGCATACTGTGCTCAGTCTGCAGCGTGAGCCCAGCAATCATTAGCAGCTGTCATAACAATCAATGTGCATCTGGGAGAGAGCCTTGTCTCTTTGAGGGAATAATGATGAAAATCGTATATTCCCTCATTCTGACATGAAGCAGCTACTGATGGAAATAGAGAATCCATCAGGCCTAAAATCCACCCTCTTTGGTTTCCTTGTACTTAGACTGTAACTTTGCATATAGGGTTGGGATAGGGCGGTGTTCCCATTTATAGCACAGTCTTCCATTAGTCGAGGCAGCTTGGATATCCAGTAGTTTCACGACTACTGTGAAAGCCTCTATCTGTTTCCCCTCTGAAGTGGCTCTTCTACCTGTCCCATCTGCTTCCTCGTTTTTCCCAAAGAGGACTGGTGACCTCTCCCTCACCTCCCTGGCTAAGGCTCATGAAGACAGAAAATATCCAACAGACTCAAGAATGGGCTTAGGCCAGGTGGTGGTGGCGCATGCCTTTAATCCCAGGACTCGGGAGGCAGAGGCTGGGGGATGTCTGTGAGTTTTAGGCCGGCCTTGTCTGCAAAGCAAGTTCTAGGGCAGGCTCCAAAGCTATACAGAGAAACCCTATCTCAAAAAACAAACAAACAAATAAAGTATGGGCTTTGAAAAACTTATATTCTAGAAATTTCCATTGCTGTGACATTTTTTTAGACAAAATACTTAAATATTTGATATTTCAAGAAATAAGCAAAGAAAGTAGATTCTTGTGTTTATCCAAAGGCAGGAAGGTTAGGTTCAGGGAGGTCTGGAAGTTCTGCCTTTGTAAAGCACATGAGGTTCCCTCTAAATGGCCTTTCTAGGATCATTCACCTGTTGTAACTTCCCTTACACAATCTATACAAACCACATGGTCCTGCCTCCCAAAGGCTTGTGTCCCCAACCATCCTTCCAGCCTTAGTCACACCTGTCTCCAGAATGGCCTGCCTTTATGCCCCCTCCCCTAATAAAAATCCTCTTCTCAAACACATCTTCCAACAATAGATCTAGAGTCAGCAGACTCTGGGTCTGAGTACCGTCTCTGTTGCTTGCTTGTTCTACAACATTGGGCACTAATTTTCAGTTTTCTTCTCACATGCAGCCCAAAGAGCTCATATTATCCCTCCTCTTTAATGGTTGTCTTTTGGGAAAGCTCTCATACATTTTGGTCAATCAGTTTTTCCCAAACAGTCCTGACTGAACCCAAAGTTTTACAACTCTTTTTCCTCTCCAGATTATAATGGTCATTTTATTGTTGTTTGTTTGTTTGTCTTCTTCAGGAAGGGTCTTTCTGCATTGGCCAGGCTGGCTTTGAACTCATGGTCATCCTGTCTCAGCCTCCTGAATACCTGGAACTGCCCCTGTGTTCCGCCACATCAAGTTCAGTGGATTCTAAAGGCAGAGTAAGCCTTGTAGAACTCTGTCTTCCAGGTATTATATAGTAACAGCTGTGATTATCCCCAGGAGGGCTCTCACAAGATGTAGCCCCTAAAGATCCTCTTACAAATATAAGGACAGGCTTAGGAGAACATACAAGAGGCTCTTCGATCAGGAGACAGCAAAGTAGTCACAGGAGGCCCAGCTCCTCTCTCAGGATATATATAAGCCATAAATTGCTGGAGGGCTTTTCTTTGGTGGCGTAGCTGCCTGGAAGGTGCCCATTGTCTGATAACCCCTCACCCATGCTCCTATAACTAAGTCCAGCTAAACTCATTGTTCACCAAAGTAGACTTGGGTAGAATCATTTCTTTGGGCTGTCATTGGTGAGCTCTCTGGGTTAACCAGACATTTGCCATGTCTCCACAGAAAAACCTAATGGGACACACATACCCCTTGTGCTTTTCAAGCCCTAAACCATGGCCAAACTTTTAACTGGGTCAACTTGGTATTGACCCTCCCTTTTTTTGGCTTCTTCTGGGGAGTCATTCACTATTAATGGACTTTAAGTCCTCTTCATATCCAAGGACTGTGGGCCTCCCATGCAAATCAGAATGTTCCCTGAAAATGGATGCTTTGGTCTGCAAGGTTGGGGGTGGTTATCACCTTTTCAGGAAGCATCACTTATCAGAAAGGGGAATTCATGTAACATGTAGTACCAAGATAAAAGTATATACCTGCTGGTGCTCTGGTAGTGAGGAATTGAATTATACTCAAGAAGACAGGATAATGTGACTGGTGCAGTCCCTGCCATGGAGTTCTTTCTAGGTGATGGGACAAGTTTCCCTGGACTCATGGGGAAAGAGCACTCTTCTCTGTACTAACATAGGGATCAGTATATTCTTTGGTTAGCCCACATCCTGCTATTTGGTAGATGTTTGCTCTCTTGCAATGGAGTCTCTGCCCTTCTCATAACCCCCTCTCCTTAGATCAGCACAGTGTCTGATATATCACAGCCCCTTAATACCTGTGGTGAATGAGTTCAGAGAAAAATGTACCTGAAATAAGATTGGGAAGTCTTCCTTGGAAAACAGCTGTGTCAGCACATCTGTAGTCCGTGTTCTTTCTCAGCTGTCCTGTGCCAGGTGAAAGGTGTTTATTTTTGGAGTCTCTAATGGCAAAGTCCTGCATCCTAAACAAGACAGACACTCCGTGGGTATTTGTTGATGGTGATAATAATTAGGTTAATGCTTCCTTAATTATTCTACTTACCACACAATGTTAGGTACTATCATTAACTCAAGTCCCTAACGCCTACTCTTCAAATAAACAAACAAAAATGCTCACAGCATCTTATTGCTGAGGCCACTAAATAATTAGTCACATTGCCTGGCTTGCAAGTAAATCTGTACCCCAACCGCCAAGAGCACTGTGTTGACTTTCATTTGCAGCCCAACCACCAATGCAAGAATTACTTCACCACATCCACACAGACATCTGAAATCAGATAACTACATGAAAACTTGAGAGGCAGCAGACCAGTGTTCCCAACCACAGTTCAGCAGAATCACTCACAGTACAGATTCACACACACACACACACACACACACACACACACACACACACACACACACACTGGCATGCATGAATGTGCATGTATATATACATACATACACACACATATACGTACATACATATTTCTGCCCAGGCTTTATTCAATGTTCAGGACATGAGCTTGGGATTGCATCTTTTAGTTTTGTTAGTTTTAATACCACATCAGACTCGAGGGAGTGGAATCGAGTTGGAAATTCTGACCCATATTATCATAAGGGCTCCAGACCATTCTAAGTCAATTGGTGGTTGTGTTACAAGAAGTACGTGAGTAAATGAAGAGGAAGACCATTTAGGAGAGTGGTGTTGTAGGGGCCTGTCAAGTAGAGAGAGATGACAGGCAGAGACAAATGTTGAGTGGTAGAGGGGACAGGGACATGCCTCTTCTGACGAACTCAGCAAATCTTTCAGGAACATGGGATGTGACATAAATAATGAAGGAAAAGGCAATTCTACAAACAGGGCTTTGGAGCAAGGAGAAGAAAGTGGACATGGAGACATCATTATGCCCGATGGGGGTTATTTCAGAGCCACAGTGACCCCAGCCGGGATGCACAAACTCATGGTACTGAATATTTGCCATAGCATCACTACACCTGTGTATGGAAGGGGGGGGGGGGCAGAAAATTTGACTTGTCCCCTAGGCCGTTGATCTGTGTAGACAGAGGATGAGTCTGTGGGGACACAGCCAACTCCCCTGAGAATGTTCTCCACATTCAGTCAGAATCAGGAACCTAAGTGTAAATAAAAGCAGCCCCATAACACAGTGGAAGGGCCCAGAAGGTGGGCAAAGGTCAGCTCCAGATGGTCTCGTGAAACACAGGACTGGAGAGCATCTCTAGAAGGAAAAAGAAGGCTCTTCTATATGGGACTGAGATTCTGGGGCTTGGTGGGATGGCTCAGTGGATAGAGACAATTGTCAAGCAAGCCAGCCAAGCCAAGTTTCATCCCTGGAACCCACATAATGGAAGGAGAGGAATGATTCCTGACTCAACAACTCATCTTCCAACCTCTCAGTACTTATGCTAAGATACGCACATGTACACACATACACGCACACACACACACACACACACAGAGAGAGAGAGAGAGAGAGAGAGAGAGAGAGAGAGACAGAGACAGAGACAGAGACAGAGAAAGAGAATGTGTTTTTTGAGGAGATGCTACTCTGAACTTTACTGGCCCACCGGCTCTCTCAGCACTTGTTAGCTTCTATCAGCATATGTGGGAGACCTCTGGGTTGATGCTTATGAAATAACAGAAAAGTTATCAAATTGGTTTTACTCAATGACAGCACATATTACCTCTGGTTTTCTTCCCATTTTGTATATACAATGATTCAATATTCTGAGTATGGTTCACAGACCAGCAGCTTCAGTGTTACCTGGGAGTTCGTTAGGAAGGCAACATCTGGGCTGAGAAGACAGGTCAGTCAGTAAAATGCTTGCCTTGCAAGCATGATGACCTAATTCAATCCCTAGAACCCACAGAGAGAAAATGTGACTGGGCATCTCAGCACTTGGGAGGCAGAGGCAGGTTGATCTCTGTGATCTCTTTGAGGCCAGCCTGGTCTACATAATGAGTTCCAGGACAGCAAGGCTACATAGTGATACCCTGTCTCAAAAAAAGAAAGAGAAGGAGAAGAGGGGAGGGGCAGGAGGATGAGAGGAAAAGGCATGGTAGAATATGCCTGTAATCCTGAAGATACTCTCTGGTCTCCACACACGTGAGCATGCACACCTGTACACACATGCACTAGCACACATACGCATCAAAAAAGAAAGAGAAAGAAAAAACATGGAAAAAAATAGATCTCTGAATCTGCCCCAGAAAAATTACAGTAGACCTTACATTTTCACCACATCATCAGATGATTTGCATATATATGAAGGCTTAAGAAATGCTGGTATGTACATGGCTGGGAAAAATTAAAACAAGCAAACTATGACTACAGAACTCTCCATGACTCAGAATTTCCTGCCTTCCTAGACAGGTGACCTGATGGCATCCTAGAATCCCGCCAAAAAGTAAGCTATGGCTGCAGAGCAAATGACCTCCCAAGCCTACCATGGTGGTTCACAACTGTAATGCCAGCACTTGGGAAACGGTAGGAGAATTAGGAGTTCAAGGCCAATCTCAGGTACACAGAAAGTTTGAGGAAAATCTGGGCTACATGAGACCCTTTCTTAAACAAAAAGTTGATAAATAGCCCCCTTAAGTTAATAACTTAAAGAATAATAGTAAGTTCCTGAGGAGAGAATTCAGACCGGGTAGGATTTGGGCAAGCTCAGCCAATTCAGTTGGTATAACACTGGCATTGCAGGCAGGAAGATATGGGTTTGATCCCAAGAACCTAAGTAAAAGTGCCATGTGTGGTGGCGTGCTGGTCACCCCAGGTCTGGGATGGCAGAGACAGTAGTAGTCCTGGAACTCACCAGCCAACCAGTTTACTTTAACGAGTGAGCTCCAGACCAGTGAGAAACCCGGTCTCAAAGGTGTTGGCCAGTGTTCTTAAGGACAACACCCATCTCCCATACAGGCCCATCACTTGTGAAGAGGAACACACACGTGTGTGCACATCTGTCTACACATACATGTATACAAACAGGCACAAAACGAATCCTTTCAGACAGGGCATTGGATCTGACGGCTCAGGTGGAAACCTTGTAGACTGAGGGCTTGAATCACCCAGAGGCTTTAAATCATATCCGAGCCCCTGCTGCTGATTGCCATTTGCTGTTCTGTCAGCCTTGTCAGCTTGAACACCAACAATGGCATCTCTCCACGGCCTGCTCTTCCTCAGAATGTATGCCTGGGTTCCAGGTATAATCAGTAATGGGCCAGGGGAAAGAGGAAGAAAGAAAAAGAGACAGAGAGGAGACCAGAGGGGGTGGGGAGAAGAGACTGAGAGAGGGAGCGAATTAGTGAGTGGGAAGAAGGGGAAGAGAAGAGGGGAAGGAGGGATGAAGAGTGGATAGTACCACAGATAAGAAAGAAAGGGGCCAAATTCACAGCCGCATTGCCTTCTCTGACCAGCTCAGGAGGCAGCAAAGCACACTTCAAGGGAGTTACAAGATTCTGCTGAGGATGAAAAGGCAGAAGCACAGACCCCGCCACATAACAGAAGCCATGCAGCTATGAACACCTACAGACCACAGAATCCAACCGTGAGTGCTCTTTTAGGTCCAAGGTGCTTCTGGCAGGCTTCCAACTGCCACCTGCCAGGAACAAGTTCTCAGTTGGTGTCTTCCACAGGGAAACCAAACTATAGGCTATTCATGTCCACTCGGGGTATGATATTCTTGGGAATTCTTGTGTTACTTTTTTGTCCCAAGAAAAATAGCTTCCAAGCTAGTTTTACTTTCCATTCTATTTTGCCCTTTTGAATGACTCAGTTACAGTCCAGTGCCTTACACAGCATATTAAAAGTCTATGAAGCCAGGCGGCGGTGGCGCATGCCTTTAATCCCAGCACTCGGGAGGCAGAGGCAGGTGGATCTCTGTGAGTTCGAGGCCCGCCTGGGCTACAGAGTGAGTTCCAGGGCAGGCTCCAAAGCTACACAGAGAAAACCTGTCTCGAAAAACCAAAAAAAGTCTATGAGAATTAAGAGGATTTGGTAAAGATAAGGATCATCCACTGACATAAAATCCCCAATTTTTTTTTTTTTTTAGTTTCTCTCTCTGCACCTTGAAATTCATTGCTAAGAGCAAATAAAATGATCGCCACAAAAGTGTGTCCATGCACTATGATTTTGATGTCTACTTTTGGGAAATGCCTTACATCTTCAGACTAAAACTCCCCTCTGTGCGTTTTCATCCCCACAGTACAACTTTCTTGGCAAGATTGCTCTCAATCTGTTTGGTTGTTCTTATATTAGAGCAGAACCAGGAACGAGGATGGGGGAGATAGAGTCTTCTACATATGACAACATAAAAAAAAATACTAGTGTTTGTTTCTCATTAAAATGAAGTCAGAGACAAAAGCTACAATTGACTCTGGCCTATAGCCATTCATCCTAAATACTGGAGGAAGAGAAGCATACGGCAACCCAATATAGACTTGGCACAGGCTTTGGGGTTTCTAATTTTGTACAATCTTCTGTGTTCCCTCTCACCAGAAAGTCACACCCAAGCCTTGTACAGTTAGATGGCTGTTCCTGTGATGGTCCATTCTCCCCACCCATCTCCTCACTGCTATCAACACCTTGACATTCCCCTCACTTGCCTCTCCCAGAAAGACACAACAGTTTTTCAGCACATGTACACATTCGTTCACATGAACACAAACCCAGAGTCATGTGATCACCCACGTGCACACTGGTCATTACTCACAGGCAGGCAGTCACACCCAAGCATCCACATATGATGCAGCTGTTTAACTGGCTCGTCCTTCCCTGAACACCCCAGCTTTGCTCATAACCAGCTGGGGGCATCTTTTGCTTTGTTTTTTGTTCTTTTGGTTTTTTTTTTTTGAGACAGGGTTTCTCTGTGTACCCCTGGCTGTCGTGGAACTCACTATGTAGACCAGGATGGCCTCGAACTCAGAGATCCACCTGCTGCTGCCTCCCAAGTGCTGGGATTA